ATTAAGGCAGAAAGCAGAGCAGCCCCGCAGAAAGAAACAATTGAGCCAGCACGAAAGACCGAAGAAAGACGGCCTATACGGGCAGAGGCGATACGACTGTCCTGAGTCACCTTAGTGGGTCACAAGAGTGGTGTGTCAATGTCCCTTCATTCAATGTGAAAACCAACCAAACAAACCAAAAAACACCACAAAAACAGCGTTCGTACAGTCAAACGATTCTCCATTATTGTGCCTGAGGAAGACCCCAATGCACCTGCCGCGTCTATGGACAGATGCACCAGTGGCCAAGAGTAAGAGCAGGGGAGAGCAAAACAGCAGAGGGAGCAGAGGAAGCACACAAGGCCCAAAAAAAACACAAACAGAGGAAAGGAGGGAAAGAAAGAACCAGCAAAAACACAACGGGACAAAAGGGCCAAGCGGCAACCAAAGGAGGGGGCGCCGGGAAGGCAGAGGAGGACAGGGCGGAGAAGGCTGCACACATCACATTAGAATAGCAACAGTGCAGCTTAGCGGAGCCTAAGATGTGCCTGGATCATCATCACGGTGAATACCTCAGTATGGCCGAACTAAGCTCCCCGACGTCACCAGTAACATGGTGTAGAGGGTAAAAACCCCACACAGGGCAGTTCATCACTCACAGTGTTGCAACCTTGTCGAGGAAAGACATGGGGAAGTCTGGTGGAAGTCATTTGGCCGGTCGATATGTTGGTTGAACGAAGGTCAAACGGCAACGGGCACCATGGCTTGATGTACTTTGACATCGTACTACGCTACCATACAACAAATTACGGTAAATAAAGGCCCCCCTTAAAAAGGTTGTTATAATCACCCCCCACCTCCTCCCTTTCCCTATTGACACAGGCATGCTTACCACAGCATTAGCTACAGTGGGTAGTGGTCAACCATGGGTACCCCATAGTGACAAAGCCTCTCAACCACGGCCTGAACAATGGCTAAATGTCATGCATGGGAACCGTGGGTACCCCACGTTAGCCCTAGTAGCCTACTGAAACTGCACGGGCTGACTGGTGCGAGGTTTTTCACGGCTACCGGTGCTACTGGATGCGGTATTTGCAGGGGGTGGGTCACTACTTTCTGCTGGTTTCATCATTTGGGCAATAAGTGGATGGCTCTGTTTTTCGCGCAGGATCCGAGTCATTTCACAAGTGAAGGCTGCAGGGTTATCAACTAGTGCCTTCGCTTCAGCCAATGGCTTATCAAGGACAATGGCAATGAGCATTTCGCCACCGTCCTTCTGGATCAGGGCTGGCCGGCCGGCTTGTACCTCTACAAGGATTGCTACTGCCTTGTTTTCGCACGCTTTATGTCAGCTTGCTGATATTTGTTTATAGTCTAATGGACAGCGATGAAAGAGCGTCTCTTCAAAAAAAAAAAATGTTTTGAATGTCAAAACGTTCTTTGTGCATGTTGCGCAAGTGATGGATGTTGTCGTTTTACATGTGTCATGGTGCATGTTTCAATATATGTTGCAATGAACGTGTTTGGTATGTGCATGTGCATTACATGTTGTGATGTCAAAAAAAACCTTGAAATGTCGATTCAATATTTGCAGCGTGCAACATTTACTATCAAGAAAGAGGTGGGTGGGCGGGAGCTCACAAAATTGTGGGTGTATGGTTTAGTTTTATGAGAGCCCGCTTTCGCGCTGTGCCCAGTGCTGTGAAGGGCCGTGAGGCCTTGATCGAGTCCAATTCAGGACATCGCTGCTCTGTGAGTTATTCAATTTTGTTTTGGAGCTGCGTGTGTTTTTGCACTGGATTCATAGCTTGTTTTGCGTGGCTTTTATATGGAACCCTCATTTGATCGTGCCATTCTGCTTCATCAGTGGCACCCTTTGCAAGTGAACTCCGCTGCAGACCTTCTTCGGTGGGAAGCCTGGTCATTTAACCAAACCATTCCAACCATTTGTTGGCAGTTGGGCAGCCTTGAGTCTAATCTGGTGGTATACGAATTTTTGGATTTGCAATCAACCTTGTGCTTACGTGCTGCTTGTTTTGGGTGGGCCGTTGAATTGTACGACAATCTGGAAGAGCATCAGGTTTTGTGCATTGCTCGTGCCAGGGGCATTTCGACTGCCACCTATTACAGCACGTTGGTAGCAGATCCACCTGTTCAGATTTGACATGGCTGCATCAGGTTCTGGTGATCTAAAGCGGACTGGGGGTTTTGACATGGACTCATCCACAGTGAGCAAATTTTGTTATGAGCAACATCTCAGGCACATTTGGACAACAAATCATGCATCGACTTTTAAGATGCCATGGGAGCTTACGTTGAATACACCTTGGGATGCTTGCAAGAAACTACGTACAAGTAGCTTTGACCTGCATGGACCTCTGCCGCCTGTTCCAGTCAGTGCGAATGTCTGCAACTCAGATGAAGGCGCTGATGAAATTTTGTCTTTCAAGCAAATTGGAGTCAAAGCCGTAAAGAATGCTGATTCACGTTTGTGGGCAGACAAGCTCTCTTGGGAGCGCAAATGTGCGTACAAGAAGTGGGTTGGCATCATTTTGAGGCAGGTCAGCGCCTTTGACATTGCTAGGCAACAGGTTACTTGCCACACCATGGAGTTTGCCAGGGGTGGTTTGCTGGAGTCTGTGAAGGACTCTTTGGGAATGAAGGCTTCGGCCACGCTGCATTCAAGGGCTGGACCTGTCTTGCAATACATACAGTTTTGTGAGGATCGTGGCATTCAAGCATTTCCACTTGTTGAACCGATTGTGTATGACTATGTGAAGTCATGTGAATCGAAGGCTGCAACATATGCTAGATCATTTTTGCTGGCGTTGAGTTTTACTAATTTCCATTTTGGGCTCACTGGGACCTTGAGCATCATGAGTTCAGGGCGCATCAAGGGATTGGTCAATACGATGTATGCAAAGAAGAGGAAGCTAATGCAGCGTCCTCCTCTTACTGTTGTTCAGATCATCCACTTGGAGGACATTGTGCTCAACAGCCACAAGACTGAGTATGACAGGGTTGCAGCTGGGTTCTTTCTCTTCGTTTTGATGGGGAGACTTCGGTTCAGCGATGGCCAGCAGATTTGCCAGCTACAGCTGGATCAACAACCGGATGGTTTTGGGTTTGTGGAGGCAGTTGCAGCCAAAACCAAGACGTCAGTGTCTTTGGAGAGGAAGACGCGGCATTTACCGGTAGCTGTGCCATTGATCCCATTTGGAGATCAACAGTGGTTGCCGGTTTGGCTGGAACTGAGAAAGAAGATTTTTGGAAATTTGGCCAACAGCAAGGATGATTTCATTCCTCTCCTTCCTGCTCCTGCCGCAAATGGGTCCTGGTCCAAGATGCCCTTGTCTGTGACCTCAGGCGCGAACTGGCTGAGGAGTTTGCTTCACGATACGTTGGACCCTCGTGGAACGCCCGTGGGCACACACAGTTTGAAAGCAAGCTTGCTTTCCATGGCGGCGAAGTACGGGTTGCCTCATTCTCAGCGCAAGCTGCTGGGATACCATGCTGGCAGCAAAGAGCAGAGCATGCTGTGCTACTCCAGGGATAGCATGGCAGAACCCCTTCGTCAAATGTGTGAGATGATACGGGCTGTGAAGAACAAAGTTTTCTTACCAGACTGTTCACGTTCAGGCCGCTTTCCTTTGAAAGAACCTGGTGAGGAGGTCATCGAAGGGGATGAGCTGAGTGAATCATCTTCCTCTGGTTCGGAGAATGAGGAGGAGACCCACCACGAAAGTGAGGAGAGCGCTTGTGAGAAGCTCTTGGGCCAATGGCAACCTGCCACTGTCGAGCCGATGGAGGAAAAGGTTTTTGTGAGGCACCGCATTTCCAGGTGCATCCATGCATTGGCTGATGAGACAGGACTGGAGTTCGTGTGTGGCAGACGAATGTCACAGTCGTATGACGTGTTGGAGCCCAAGCCTGCCTTTTGCCACCCTGTGTGCCAAACATGTTTCAGAGACAGGGCCACCTGAGCCTGGCGTGATCGCGGTGAAAGAAAAGACAGGAGGTGTTCCTGCATAAGATGTTGAACGGCACTGCAAGTTGCGGTGTCAAAGTGTGAACACATCATGTAGTGCGTTCGACAAGTTGTTGAGCGGTTTGTGGAAAGTGGACTCAATGTTTGAGCGCCGCAAGATTTTAGGGCTATGCTCAAAATCCTCATGGAACACATGTTGAAATTGAAAATGAACAGTAGGTTTGCATAGTTTTTACTTGGCAGTTTGGTCAACATGTCCAGAACCTTTTTCATGACAGATTGTGTTTACGTGTTGTGAGAGTTTGCACAAGCTCATGGGCCTGGAACATACAACCTACTTTTAGGGTCTTCATCCTGTCTCCTCGGAACCATGAGCTACGGCGACAGCAAGGCTGTTTTCAGAAGGAGATGCGAAGAGATTGGATTTACTGCAGAAGTTGTTGAGTTGATTGTCAACCATGGACTGGACACCATGGCAAAGTTTGCATTTTCTTGCAATTTTTCTCCTGGAAGTTCAGACGAGTCGCCCCTCATCCAGCTGTCTAAGGAGATATTTAAACGGGCGCCTTCAACTGTTGAGATGTCATGTGTCAGACGCTTGTTTAGTGAAAGTTACGCAAACATAGCAGCAGATATCAAGAATTCAGTTGAGGCGACGGATGACATGCCCACAAGGAAACTTGCTCCAGCTGAGAGGGCAGAACGGTTGCGTGTCCAGCAACGACAATTGGCGGGCATCAACATTTCTGGACCTTATGAACCAGGAGATGCGTTGGTGGATCGCTGCATCGCAATTTATGATGCTGACAGGATTCAATTCATTCCTTGGGACATTTGCACAAGTCGTGAACATGAAATATTGCATGGATCAAAACGTGATCAGACCCTGACATTTGACTCGACAGGTGCCCTCAAGTTGCACAAACAGGCACGCATTGAGCCGTGCAGCACTGCCTCAGAGATCCAGGTGCGGTATTGCCTAACCAGGCGTGCTTTGGCGATGGAACAAGCTAACATTGTCAGTTTCCAAAACATGGAAGCATGGTCTGAAAAGATGATGCAAGCAAGACTTGAGGAACCACCTGCTAATTACGTCAAAACTTCAATGAAACAGCTTGAATCTGCAGATCGAAAATTGTTTCTCTTGATCAGTGAGAAGACCAGAGAAGGCATCAAGTGCAATGCTCAAGGCCGTCCGATTGACGCCGTTTTCAAGCAGTGCATGGAGAGCTCAGAGGTGCTATCATTGCTGCAGCCGAGACCTGGGGGAAGTGGGTCAACAACCAGGCCATCAGAGGGACCTGCGGCAGGTGAACCGCCTGCCAAAAGGATCAAGGGCGGAGGAAAGGCCCGAGGAAAGAGTTTCAGCAAATTTCAGGGCACAACGGATTCATTTGTCCGCATCCCGAAAGAGCTGCTGTCGCTTGGAGCAGTGGCTGCAACTCCAAAAGGACATCGACTGTGTTTCTCCTACACTACAATTTGAAATCGTGCAGCAACCCAGTTGATAAGCAAAGATGTTCAAAGGGCCTTCATGCATGTGTAGTAAAAGGATGCCATGGACAACACCCAGCGGTGGAGTGCACACGTGCCAAGCGGGAGTGACTATATCCCCCAAATGAGCATGCTGAACAGGACTCAGACAGCCCTGTGAATTCAAATTTTCCGACAGTATCCGAGCAGTCAGCACCGGATCCTCCCCAAGGCCAAAGCCGTGACCGGAGCGAAGTTTTTGCTGGCTTAATGGATTCTTTGCAGGTCCCGAAGGGGACGTCTGTGCCTTTCTTTGTTGAATTATGTGCAGGCAGCGCCAAGTTGTCAGACGCTGTCAAACAACATGGATACCATATCATTGCCGTTGATCACGACAAGAACCGCCACGCCCCACGCTGCAAGATCATACAACTGGATTTGTCACATGAACATGCGTGGGACATGCTTGACTTTTTGCTGGAGAGAGTAACAATTTCGGGTGTCCACATAGCGCCCCCTTGTGGCACATGCTCAAAAGCCAGAGGCATTCCCATGAAGGACGGAACAAAGTTGAGACCTCAGCCACTTAGGTCGACTGATTTTCTGCTGGGACTTCCACATTTGTCTCAACGTGACCAACAGAGAGTTTTTCTGGCAAATCAAATTTACAAATTTTGTGGATTGTACGTGCAAAAGCTGCATCAAGCTGGAATTCCTTGGACTATAGAAAATCCAACAAATTCACTGATGTGGGATTTGGATTTTTTCACATGGGCCGTGGCCAATGGTATTTTTGTCAACATGCACGCATGCGCTTATGGCTCAGCGAGGAAAAAACTCACATCTTTTCTCTGCAGTCACCGTGAATTTGCCGCCTTAGAGTTGTATTGCGATGGCCAACATGAACACCTTCCATGGGGCATTGCAGAGGATGGAGCTTTTAGTACTTCTCATGAAGCCGAGTATCCCAAAGCTTTGTGTGTCAAATATGCTGAAATTTTTCATGAACTGTGCCGTACCCGCGGCATTGTGCCAGCACAGCAGGCAAGCGACGAAGTGCAAAAGCTGGCGCCCAATCAACAGCCCAAAGGTCGCAAGTTGCCGCAGTTGATACCCGAGTTTGCCTTTACAAAAACAATGCAAGCGGACAAGCTGCCCCAGGTTGACCACAAAGGTTGCTTACTTCATCACATGCACGGAATTCCTGCCGGCAGCAAACTGTTGAGAACTGAAGCGAAAAGGGGATCAACTCTTTGTGTTTTTGGTGTGTACCGCTCTTTCGCTGAATTTACACATGTTGCACAACAGCTATGGCATCCATATGACGAGCTGAAGAACTTGCCTGGAGATTTGATACGAGTTCTTTTCCAACACTTGAGTCAAGCACCAGATATAGTGACACGAAGTCGCATCAAGATTTTGTCTGAATGGGCGAGTCGTGCGAAAGCCTTGAATGCTTTAGAAGAACAGTTGAAGCTTGACATGGATGCCGACGTTGCAAAAATCATGGCGCCCAAGCGCATTCTCCTCATGCGATCCATTGCAATGGACATGAGCTGGCCAGACATGGGGCTCTTTGACGAGTTCACTGAAGGTTTCAAAATAGTAGGCCCTGTGTCTGAATCCGGAGTTTTCAAGCCTGGCGTCACTTTGGCTCAGATGTCCCCCCAGCAGCTAAGGGACAAAACAAAGTTTTTGAAGCCTATGATACTTGGGAGAGCCAAGCTTGGCGATGGGAACGAGCTGCAACAGCAACTGTACGACACAACTGTTGAGGAGACCCAGAACAAGAACTGGCTTGAAGGCCCATTCTCCCCCGAAGAGATCGAACATAAGCTGGGAGGGGAGTGGTTGCCTGTAAGGCGCTTTGCAGTGATGCAGCGTGAGAAGCTGCGGCCCATCGACGACTTCAAGGAGAATCAGGTGAATCAGACATTTGCAAGCACGGAGAAGTTGGAGTTAAGGACAATGGACCATACGCTGTGGTCCCTCTTCACCATTCTGAAATTTCTTCTTTTCGATGGGCGGCTTGACTTCACCCTGGAATCAGGGGAACGCTTGACTGGAGAAGTACACCATGCATGGAAAGGTGTGGAGCCGAACTTCAAGGCATCTTGCATTGACTTAAAGTCTGCGTATAAACAATTCCCTTTGCATGAGGAAAATCACAAGGACGCGGTGGTGACACTGTGGAACCCTCCCAAGAGGAGGGTAGACTGCTTCATCATGAAGGTGCTGCCGTTTGGAGCCACAGCCAGTGTACACCATTTTCTTAGAATCAGCGCTTTCCTGCAGGCAATTGGAAGATTCATGGGTTTGATTTGGTCGGCATTTTTCGACGACTTTGTCGTGCTCAGCCATGCAATGCACGAGGCCAGCACCATGACATCGGCCTTGACTCTTCTTGATTTGTTGGGTTTTCAGTATAGCAAGGATAAGCTGCAGCCCTTCAGTGACAAAACAGAGATGCTGGGAGTGGAGCTCAATTTGGTTGATGGGAAGAACGGCACTGTCGAAGTCAGGAACAAGGCTTCACGAGCAAATGAGCTGTGCGATGTTTTGGATCGAATCCTGCAATCTAAGAAAGTGGTAGTCAAGGAACTTCCATCAACCTTGGGCAAGCTTCAATTTGCGGAAGGTCAACTATGGGGAAGAACGGGACGGCTTGCATTGTCCGAACTAAGGAGGCATGAGAAGTCGGGGTGCACTGAAGCATTGCTGGATCAGCGTAGCATCGACGCTGCACACATGTTGTTTGAGAAGATGAAAAACGGAAAGCCTCGGACAATTCGCATCACGCCGAGATCAAAACCTTTCTTGCTTTTCACTGATGGGGCATTGGAATACGAATCTTCTGGAAAACCAACAGCTGGCATAGGAGCCGTATTGTTGTGTCCTGATGGGAGACAACTTGTGTTTGGAACCAAGGTTGAAGACGAAACACTGAAGCGGTGGCAGGTTGATGGAAAATCTCATGTGGTTGGTTTGGTAGAACTTTATGCAGCGATCACCGCTTTCAATACCTGGGCTGACATTCTTCAAGACCAACGTTTGATTTGCTTCACCGACAGTTGGCCGGTGCTTGATGCTTTGGTGAAAGGAAATTCTCCCGTTGATGAATGGCGGGATTCTCCCGTTGATGAATGGCGGGACCTTCTTTTGATTTTTGAAAATTTGGATGAACGAATCAATTCAATGTTGTGGATGGCTCGAGTTGCGTCCAAGTCGAATCCTGCGGACGCCCCAAGCAGGTTTTCTTTTATGTTTAGAATTTGAATTTGAAGAGATCCATGTTGAGTTTGTCTTTGAGACTGCAGATTTCAGAAGCAGTATGTCCAATTAAAGGTTCCAAGCTGAAATCCTACGTGGCATGTAGCTGAAGCGGAAAGGGGAATGGTCCAAAGTTTGGATCGATGTGCAATGATGGGGTGTCCATCCTTTTTGTTTTCCATATGACAAAAGAAAGTCAAAAGTGTGAATGCGTGAACATGAAATATGTTCAACAGATTTCCCCATTCTGCTTTGCGAGAAAAAGTCCGAGTGAGCCACCTGCATTCAGTCATGTCAAACAAACAAACCAAAAAAAAAACAGTGTGAACACTCGTGCATCTTGGCGATCTCACTCGTTGCGGCGTATGAAATGTTTGAACATATTGATATGTATATATGTTATTATATGTTTTGATATGTATACGTGATGTATATATATAATGAGCTTTTATGTTTTACGTTTGTATATGTGGCGTATGTGCGTGCATGGCTTACTCATATACGTTCACCTCGAAAGGTCTGATGCAAACCTTTTATGTTTAGAATTTGAATTTGAAGAGATCCATGTATGACTATAAAGGGTGCGTTCCCATTCCTCTAAGGCTCTTTGAGCTAGGGTGTCAGTTTGCGGTGAGGCCTTGTGAGCTGCCGGTGTCCCCAACGCACGGATGAAGGGGCTGTCAGGCAGCGTGGGAGATGGCAGATTTGCGATAGCCGCTACTGCACGTAAAATGTCACTTTCTTTGATTTCATACGAAGGGGACGACTTCTTCCCAATGGCTGGCTCAGAATCAGCCCATAATTGTTGCAGCGTGTATCCTGTCTTTGGTTCCATTCCATACTGCATTGTGAGCGCTTGGTACCTTTGGGCTCCCATGTAGGGCGCACCCTGGGGCGGTACCCTTTCCACCACAAAGGACGTACACGGTCTCCCAGTGTATGCGCTCGCCAAAAAGGCGGCAACCTGCAGAAGCAAGCAACACCAGACCGTTAATGTCTTTATCCGATGTGGCCTGCGAAGGTTCCCACATGAGGTATTTCGGTGGGTTGGTTTCTTGTCCACCTTATAACCTCCCCCTTTTAAGAGTGTGGTCCCAACGCAGCACAGCTCGATCCCTGGTGTAGGACCTTACTGTGGCCTGACTGTACATTAAGCCGAGGTGCTTCTGCCAGAACCTCGACCGCTGGGTGACCTTTTTTTCCTCGAGTGTGGCCGATGTCGCGCTAAAGGCTCGGTCCTTACATGAGAGTAAGCTGGAAATACATTGTGCAAGGACAAAAGGTCCTTGGAGTCGGCAAATCGATTGAAGCAACAAAAACGAAAACCACAACCAAACCAAAAACGACGACCCGCAAATCCCCCAGCCAGACTTGCGTTTCGCCAGCGGAAACAGCGAACAAACAGCAGAAACAAAACAAAACCCACAAAACGGGGCCAGAGCCCAAACAAAAACACCCACCGAATCGATTTGCCATTGGACGCAGTGGCTTATCCACTGCATCACTATCAAAAACATGCCAAATGAATTAGGGATCACGGCTGTCCAGGCAGACATGAAGGCCTTAGCTTGGGAGTTTACCCTAGCATGAGCCACTCGACCGCTGGGTGACCCAGTCGATAGCGATCCCACCCCTCCATGTGACACATACCCGAAAGCATGGGAACACACGAAGGAGGTCCAGGTTACCCCAGACACCGTGACTAACCTGGCATTCGTCACGGAGGAACCGACGGTCTGATCCATGCGGAGCATAGCAACCCTCACACGAACTTTGACCGTTAGCCAGGATCCAAGCAATGGATCGGAAGTTGAAGCAGTGGTGACATTCAATCACACCCTTTCCCACATATGTCTGCCTGCCTTCAGGACTGTACAAGGCGCGCACCGGACAAGTTGTAGCGCAGACCGGCCCAGAGCAGGAAATCCTGTCTTTGCCAGGTATCTACTTCTTTGATGGATGGCGGGTACACCCAACGTTGCCAATCCCCGACCACCTGCCACGCACCAAAGAGGCACCAGTCCAAGGTGTCGCTCTGACTGCACCGGCACCTGGTACAGAACCTACTCGGTCGCTGGAAGAAGAAGCGAGAGACATCCTTGCGACAGCTGCTAAGAATCAGCCCGAGGATGGGTCAAACACAAGGAGAGCAGCAGTCCGCGCGTGCAAGTACTTAAGGGCTATGGTCAACCAATATGAGTCCACCATACAAGAAGTGCATAAGGCAGCCCGCACCCATACACAAAGGAGCAAGGGCGCAGCAGGGCCAACGGTAGACTATCGGCCACAAGGGAAGCTCTCCCAGTTATATCCCCAGAACTAACTTCAAAGTTACTGCATTGCCTGTCCACGCTATCAGACCCATGGCCTCTGGCTAAGATCACGATTGATGTGGAGAAACCGAGCCAGTGGGCGCCCAAGTTGTGCCGACTCCACTTTGCTGATGAATATGCCAGGCGAACACTGCCCTCACCTACACAATCCCAGACATTGAGGCAGCACTCCAAGCGGTCCAGGCAATCCTCTCAAAGCTTGGAGTAAAGATGATTGAATTTTTAGCCGAATGGTTAGTCACCTTTCTGATACCAGCAACGCACGTATTGGAAGTGAGGGCACCTCATCTTTCCTTTATGTTGCTCAAGGAATACTGGTTTAGAGAACTATACCTCGGCTTGAAAGTCACAGCATCGTTTGACCGCTCCGAATCATACACGAGAGTAATCGATGGGCAGGTAAGATGCATCACTCCTGAAATCAAGCCACAGAACCTGCAGGTCATCTGGAACGTGCAGTTTATCACTGTGTTTGTGCCGGCATGGATGATCCCTCCAGTATACCACAGCCTGCTGTCCTTGGGGACTCGGGGGGCAGTCGTGGAGCACCCTTCAGCGAAGGTACCTTAAGCCCCCTTCGAAGGTACCTTAAGCCTTTGCCGAAGGGGGGACGGGGGGGGAGGGGGGGGGGGGAACGAGGAACCGAAGCCCCCTTAAGGTACCTTAAGGGGGCTTCGAAGGCTTCGAAGGTATCTTAAGGGGGCTTCGAAGCCTTCGAAGGTACCTTAAGGGGGCTTCGACGAAGGTACCTTAAGGGGTCTTCGCGGAAGACTTCGAAGGTATCTTAAGCGGGCTTGGACGAATTCTTCGAAGCCCCCTTAAGGGAGCTTCAAAGCCTCCAAGCCTCCTCAAGGTACTTTAAGGTGGCTTCGAGCGTTGAAGCCTTGGCTGAAGCCTTTGAAGGTACCTTAAGGGAGCTTCGAAGGCTTCGAAGGCACCTTAAGGGGGCTTCGAAGCCTTCCTCAACGGACCTTCAAATTCAATTTCTCAAGCTTCCCCCTTAAGGTACCTTCCTGAAGGGCCTCTCACCGACTGCCTGAGGGCAGTCGTGTGGAAGGCAAGAGAATTAGATTTCAGATCATGGTATTGTGGAAGGCAAGGGGGGAAGTTTAAATAAAAGTTAGATCATGGCATTGTGGAAGGCAGGGGGATGAAATTGAAACAAAGAGTTGGAATTTAGATCATGGCATTGTGGAAGGCAAGCGGGGGGAAGTTTAAGTTAGATTTTAGACCATGGCATGGTGGAAGGCAAGGGGGAAATTTAAATAAAGAGTTGGAATTTAGATCAGGCATTGTGGAAGGCAAGAGGGGAACTGAAGAGTTCGATTTTAGATCATGCCATTGTGGAAGGCAAGAGTGGAACTATAAATAAAGAGTTAGATTTTAGATCATGGCATTGTGGAAGGCAAGGGAGGGGAAAGTTCATAAAAAGTCAGATTTTAGATCAAAGTTTTAAAAGCAAGAGTTGGATTTTAGACCAGGCATTGTGGAAGGCAAGGGGGGGAAGTGTAAATAAAGAGTTGGAATTTAGATCATGGCATTGTGGAAGGCAAGCGGGAGGAAGTTTAAATAAAGAGTTAGATTTTGCATCATGGCATTGTAGAAGGCAGGGGGGGAAGTTCAAATAAAGAGTTGGAATTTAGATCATGGCATTGTGGAAGGCAAGGGAGGGAAGTTGAAATAAAGAGTTAGAATTTAGATCATGGCATTGTGGAAGGCAAGGAGGGAAGTTTAAAATCAGAGTTAGATTTTAGATCATGGCATTGTGGAAGGCAGGGAGATGAAATTTGAACAAAGAGTTGGAATTTAGATCATGGCATTGTGGAAGGCAAGCGGGGGGAAGTTTAAGTTAGATTTTAGACCATGACATGGTGGAAGGCAGGGGGAAAATTTTGAAGAGTTGATTTTAGATCATGCCATTGTGGAAGGCAAGAGTGGAACTACAAATAAACAGTAGATTTTAGATCATGGCATTGTGTAAGGCAAGGGAGGGGGAAGTTCATAAAAAGTCAGATTTTAGACTCAAGTTTTAAAAACAAGAGTTGGATTTTGGACCATGGCATTGTGGAAGGCAAGCGGAGGGAAGTTTAAATAAAGTGTTTGACTTTGGATCATGGCATTGTGGAAGGCAGTGGAGGAAGTGTAAATAAAGAGTTGGAATTTAGATCATGGCATTGTGGAAGGCAAGGGGGGAAGTTTAAATAAAGAGTTCGATTTTATGGCATTGTGGAAGGCAAGGGGGGGAAATTTAAATAAAGAGTTAGAATTTAGATCATGGCACTGTGGAAGGCAAGAAGGGGGTGGAAGTTTAAATAAAAGAGTTAGATTTTAGATCATGGCATAGTGGAAGGCGAGCGAATTAGATTTTAGATCATGCCTTCGACGAACGCACCTTAAGGCGGCTTCGAAGCCTTCGAAGGTACCTTAAGGGGTCTTCGCCGCAGACTTCGAAGGTACCTCAAGCCTTTGCCGAAGGGCGGACGGAGGGGAAGGGGGGTGAACGAGGAACCGAAGCCCTTAAGGTACCTAAAGGGGGCGTTAAGGTACCTTAAGGGGGCTTCGAAGGCTTCGAAGGTATCTTAAGGGGGCTTCGAAGCCTTCAAAGGTACCTTAAGGGTGCTTCGACGAAGGGTACCTAAGCCTTTGCCGAAGGGAAGGACGGGGGGGGACGGG